CCCCCCCCGATCGCAGCATTTTGTGTTGGAGAGTGGAGATATTGAGAGTGTGACTAGGAGGGAGGGACGCTGGGGATTCTCAAAGGTATACCCTTGGAATGGCCGGATCCAGCCTTAAAAGTACGAGATCGCGCGCGCTTCGCGGGGTGCGGGACATTTTTTCCCGGAGTGTGCGCGGCAGGGTACCGTGTACCTAAAAACTCGGGGAGGGGGTAGCGCTGTGCCCAGGCAATGTAAGCTGAGATTCCAGGGGGGATCGCCGCCCGTCCCCCTCCCTCAACCCCCAGACAGTGTAGCGCACATGGAGCCGTGTTTAACTCTGTCTCTTCACACCTCCAGCTGTGAACAGGAGCCGTCGTCGCTCTGGCACACGGAGCTCGACGGCGAGCCAGACACCACTACACCTCGCCGTGAACGGCGTCTCCTCACACATCCAGCTGTGAACAGGCGAGCCCTACATCTACCACTACACCTCGCCGTGAACGGCGTCTCTTCACACATCCAGCTGTGAACAGGCGAGCCCTACATCTACCACTACACCTCGCCGTGAACGGCGTCTCTTCACACATCCAGCTGTGAACAGGCGAGCCCTACATCTACCACTACACCTCGCCGTGAACGGCGTCTCTTCACACATCCAGCTGTGAACAGGCGAGCCCTACATCTACCACTACACCTTCGGGCTCGAGTTTACGACCGACGGGCTGTCCGCACACACTAGAAGCGCGACGCGTGCTCTTGTATTCCAAGTAGCGCCCGAGAGGACACGCCCTCCATACTCCGCTGCGCACGACGCCTATACCGCACCACCCACGCGACTGAACCCACGAGACACGGAGGGGGGGGATACGGGGGAGATACGGGGGAGATACGGGGGAGATACGGGGGAGATACGGGGGAGATACGGGGGAGATACGGGGGAGATACGGGGGAGATACGGGGGGGGAGACGGGGAGATGTGGGGAGATACCACGCTGGACGCGGCGTGCGGCCGTCTTGACTCGCGGACGTTTGCATGTTCGCGGGCGCGGGCCGTCACGCTGGATTTGTTACTCTGGAGGTATGGTACTAGGCCGGTCACGGGGGTCGGGGAGTGGTCGCTCGACAAGAGGCACTTTATGGACCGCTACCCGAGCAAGGCACTCGAGCCTCCGCCAAAGTGAGCTAATCTCGGCTAATCTCGGCTAATCTCGGCTAATCTCGACTAATCTCGAGCCTCCGCCAAAGTGCGCCGGCCTCAAACAAAGACAGAGTTCGATACAGAAACGAAGGAGCAAAGCATGGAGACAGAGAGAAAGTCAACCGTCGCACTCCCCCGAGATCCCTCACAAAGAGGGGAGTAAGGGACCTCCGCCCCCTCGCCACCCCCCGCCACTGCCCGAGCTAGCGGCTCGAGTCGCCGCCAAAGTACGCCGAAGAGAGAGTGAGATGCCCCTCAGAGACATGACTGGTAGCGCCTCCAACATCAGACGCTCCACCATCAGACGCTTCGACGCGCATAGCAGCACCTCGAAGTGGTCGAGTGCAGCCCCAACATCGTCACAATAAGGACCGCATCCGGAACCAACACTGTTTAGGTGCGCCGGCCTCGCCGCGCGCACGCTGCACGCGAAGTTCGCCGAGGCGGCGCAGGCGCTGCCGGACTGGCCTGAGGGCGGCAAGGGTGCGACGGGCTGGGCGAGCGGGGGAAAGGTGCGGCCGGCCGGTGATACCGCACCACCCACGGGACCGAACCCACGCTGGGGTCGAGACTCTGGCGGTATGGGACTAGGGCCTGCCGGCGCCGCTCAGCGACGAGGCGCTCGCGGAGTCGGAGCTCGCAATCTCGCTGGTCGAGATTAGCCGAGATCCGCCGAGATTAGCGGAGAGTATCGGAGCTCGCAATCCGGCCGAGATTAGCGGAGAGTAGAAAGGGTTAGCCGAGATTAGCCGAGATTAGCCGAGATTAGCCGAGACTAGCCGAGGCGAGTAGTCGCGCGCTGTGGACGTGGAGCTTTCTCGGAAGTGTCTCTCTGAGCCGTCCCTGCGGTCCCTCTGAGCCACACCACACCAGACTTAATTAGTCACTCGACGAAGCGCCCCTGAGTCACTCCGCTAATGAACTGGCCGATGAATACGTTGATGAAGCGCCCCTGAGTCACTCCGCTAATGAACTGGTCGATGAATACGTTGATGAAGCGCCCCTGAGTCACTCCGCTAATGAACTGGTCGATGAACACGTTGATGAAGCGCCCCTGAGTCGTGAGCAGGTGCGGCGCGGCGCGTGGAGCTGGGCGGGCAGCAAGAAGCCGCTGCTCTTCTACAAGGAAGCTCATCGGCTACTGTAGTGAACCACTAATTAAATATCGAATCCACTGACCAGAAGCCGCTGTCTACAAGGAAGCTCACCCGCTAGTCATTTAGTGAATCAACTCTCGAAGTCACTCACCCCGCTGCTGCTGCTGCACAAGGGCGGACGCGCCGCTACGCCCTGGGGATCCGCCCGATGGGGGCTCGAGCTGGACGGCGCCGTCCGGCTCCACCTCGGCCAGGCAAGCGGCCAGCTCCCCTGCCACGCACACGCCATCCCCTCACACGCCCCCCCACCCCCCCCCGGCTTAACCCCCCCCCCCCCCCCCCGACCCCCTCTCACCACTGCCACCACCACCACCACCACCACCACCACCCCCCACCACCCCCACACGCTACACACCCCTCCCACTGCAGCCTCCGCCTGGCCCCTCCGCCCTCCTTCGACCGCGCATCTCGGCTCATCTCGGCGCATCTCGGCGCATTTCGGCTCATCTCGGCTCATCTCGGCTCATCTCAGCTCATCTCGGCTCATCTCGGCTCATCTCGGCTCATCTCGGCTCATCTCGGCTCACCTCCCGCCCCGCAGGCGTGCGGCTCGTGGCTGCTCCGCTTCAGCGGCGCACGCTTCGAGGCCACCTCACACACAAACACACACACGCACGCACGCACGCACGCCCGCACGCACGCACGCACGCACACACGCACACACACTCGCTCACCCACACGCACCGGGCCGTTTGCACCTTCAACGCACGTGCGGGCGCCTGTCGTCTAGACGTAGAGTCGCGAGGGACTTGCCCGCCCCTTCCTCCCCCGCCGCCTCGTGTGTGTGTGTGTGTGTGTGTGTGTGTGTGTGTGTGTGTGTGTGTGTGTGTGTGTGTGTGTGTGTGTGTGTGTGTGTGTGGAGACGGCGACCCCCCTCCCCCTCAGGCCACCTCGTCCGCCGGTCACGCGACCTCGGGCGAGCGCCTCCTCCCCGCCGCCGCCGCCGGCGCAGCGAGCACCGCCGCCTTTGACTGGCTGGTTGGGTCGGGTCCGTGGGGCGTGGACCGGCGTCGCGCTGTGAACGGCGTCTCTTCACACACCCAGCTGTGAACAGGTCCGTGGGCGTGGACTGGCGTCGCGCCGCTCGGCGGCTTCGACGACGGCAGGCTGCTCACTCATGAAACCGTCCGTTGATCTTCAGTGATTCATTCACTTTAGGCTCCTTCAAGGACAGCGGCCTGGCCCCGCCGTGTTTCTTTCTCCAGGCCGTACTTCCGTTTTAGATAGGCTTCTTCGAGGACGGCAGCCTGGTCACGCCGTGGGGCGACGGGACGTGGGGTGAGCACCCGAGCGCAAGCGGCGCAATCTTTGCGAACTTTGTGGGGCAGGAGCAGCACCGCGCCCCCCCCCCCCAGTCTCGGGGATTTTCAGCGATCCGTCTCGGCTAATCTCGACTCCTTTCGGCTAATCTCGGCTAATCTCGGCTCCTCTCGGCTCCCCTCGGCTCACTTCGGCTCACCTCGGCTCATCCCGGCTCCTCTCGGCTCATCTCGGCGCACCTCGGCTCCTCTCGGCCTCCTCTCGGCTCCTCTCGGCCTCCTCTCGGCTCCCCTCGGCGGTGTCTCGGCGCATCCCGGCTCATCTCGGCAGGAGCACACGGTCCGCTTTGGCGAGTGCTGGTCCTTCGTCTCAACGCGCAAGAGCGACGGCGAGCGCGCGGCTCGGCGGCCCTAGATGCGGGATCTCTCCCATCATCTCCCCGGATCTCCCCATATCTCCCCATATCTCCCCCCGTTTTTCGTGCCCTAGATGCGGGATATCTCCCATCATCTCCCCATATCTCCCTGTATCTCCCCGTATCTCGTGCCCTGGATGCGGGATGCGTACTCGTGTCCTCCGACGCGGTCTCCAGAGGACGCGCCTTCAGCTGTACCTCAGCCATCGTCAACGCCGTGGCGCTCGCTGTCCCGTGTCGCTCGTAGTCACTGCGGTGCTCGGAGTGCATGGCGCGAGTCAGACCGTCTCTCTTCACGTAAACGCACAACCCCGGGCCCCGAAATCGCAGTCTGTCTTCACACCCCGGCGTTCGGCGTACCCACGCAAGCACACACGGTGTGTACACCTGCGATGCCGTGCCGGGCTCCTGTCGTCTAGACGTGGAGTCGCGAGGGTCGCCCTGGGGCCCCTTGCCCCGCCACGGCGTGCGTGTGGAGAAGTTCACCTCACCTCACCTCACACTGCAGGTGGGCGGCGGCAAGATCGACGCCGAGCCAAAGGAGTGCCCCGAGCTGGCCGCCCCACACGCGTGAGAGGGCCGTGAGAGGGAGGTCGCGCGCTGGTGAGTGTCTTGGGGCGGGGGGTGGCGGAGCGCGGAGGGTGGTTGCGCGGGGTGCACGGGGGCGCGACCCGGCGGGCTCGCGGCGGGTTCTGAGCGGTGGACGAGATTCAGAAAGGACAAAGGTTGCTGCTGGTCCCAGCAATGCGATGAAGTCCAGTTTTTTGTGTGCTGTACGACTCTGTACTGCTTTTCACGGCCGACTACACGGTGAGCCATACGGACCTTGCAGAAAACCTTTCCTTCTAAGCAGGGCTACACAATGACCCTATAGTGTGGGGGTGTTTCTGGCGAGTTGTGATGAGTAGGATTAGACTAGCCAATGGTATTTTGAAGTTCATATATGAAAATACCAACTTGCCTATGTGCACGTCTCCGCGGCGGCGGCCCGGAGGCGGCCCGGCGGAGCGGTCAGAGCAGCACTGCGCCGGCCGGCGATCGACTCTCGACTATACCACGGGCTCTATTGAATGACCTCAAGGTGCTCTCTAGGGCTGCCCTATTCCGCTCGCCCGGCTACGTCGCTGAGCTTCGAAGGAAAAGGTTTCGCTCGGCACGGCGTCGGAGAGCAAACTTCGACGTTCGTCCTATAGTGGAAGCTGGACGCACGTAGGCAAGTGGCCCATGACCAGGCGGGCTGCTGCTCATAATCTGGGCGGCCTGACCACGACAACGCCAGTGCCGCTGGCCTGCAACTCGAGGCGCCTTTGAATGAGCACGAGCCGGTGCGCGGCGGCGGCGCGGGTGATGCAGCCCAAGGTGACGGCGACGGCGGAGGGGGCGGCGGCGGCGGCGAGAGTTGGTGGCGTACGCGATGCTCTTGTTGAGCTTGGCGGCGCCGAGCCACTTGGTGAGAAAGTCGGCGGGCATGGCGGCGTCGGGGACCTTGATGACGGTGCACTCCCCCTCGCTCATGCGCCGCTGCAGCGTCAGGTATACCAGCGGCCCGCGCAGCCAGGGCGAGGCCGGCGGGCGTCGCGTCGGAGGAGCAGCAAGCAGCGGGACTACGTGCCCAAATCGCGGACGAGATTGCAGAACGGCAGCACTTTCTCGACGAGATGGCTGCGCTGGGCAGAGGGGACAAGAGTCTCTTGGCTCAGCTTCGCGGGGAAATTGCTGAGAGGGTTAGGGATCTGGTGCGGTTGGATGCGATGGGCCTCTAGACGTGATCCCACGAGCGCCGGCGCAGTACTACCGGCGCTGACTCGAGACGTTGCGCGGTGCGGGGGCACTTTGCCGTGGGCGAGAGCGCGCGAGTCGACTCAAGTCACGTGTCACGAGCGAGCGCGCGGGCGGGGGGGTGCGCGAGCGCCGCGACTCCCCGGCTCTCCGGCGGCCCGGCAGCGGCACTTTGTCGTGTGTCAGGGGATTTCGGACGCCGGCTCTTGTGGCGAGGACGATGGCTTCTAAGGAAGCCGTCGTCTGCGCCTTGTCTGTCGTGTGAATCGTGCGTGTGGGAGAAAAGAAATGTGGGTGCTCCTCCGCCTTGCGTTTGTTTCATAACATCGAACGAGCTCAAAAGAAATATGCTACTCGCAGAATGGCCATTTTTTTCTCAAAGAAAGAAGTGAAAAAGAATACCAACGTGTCTCTCTCAAAAGGAATTTAATAACAATCGCCGCGCCGCACGTTTTGCGCACGACATCGCGCAACCGATCAGACCTGCTGCTGCACCGACGACGCCTCGCCTCCAGAGACGTCGCGCGCCTCCGCAGAGCTGCGGCTGCTCATCTTGGCGAACACCCGGCTGAGTCCGCCAAGGCTGCGCTTCGCGAGACTGGTGCTGCCCTCAACGACGCTGCCTGAAGCGAGGAGGCCCGCCCGCGACCGAGCGGGGGTCGCGCCTAGGCTCTTTGCCAGAAGGACGAGCGACACCTGCGGGCAGGGACCCGCCCCTCGTCACGAAACGCTCGATGCGGGGGAGAGCTCGCTGTGTGTGAGAGAGGGGCGCGCGCGCCTTGCGGTGGTGGCCGGGGAAGCAAGATTTTGCCAGGTCCTTGTAGAGTCCGCCGGCGATGAGCTCCTGCGGCGTTGGGGGGGGAGAGGGTTGGGGAGGAGGGGTGGCGGGACAGGCGCCACGTTGAGACATTCGCTCCTGCGGCGTGACTTCGAAAAACCTCGAGAACTGGCAGCCGCCGAGCGCGGGGTCGTTCTCGTGCGCCATGACGATCTTCAGCCTGTCCTGGCGCGCCTGCTTGACCTGCTCGGCCAGCCGCTCGTCGCTGACGAAGCTGTCCTCGTTGAGGTAGAGCAGCAAGTGCGTCGCGCTGGCCGGCCGATCATCGCTGGTGCAGATCGTGAGACCGGCGGTCTCACGATCTGGGGCAAAGGCGGCGGCGATCTCATCGGCCAGCGCCAGCGACCCCGCGTTGGCAGGCGAGGCCCAGAGCGTGCACGGTTTGGAAAAGGCGAGCGACTGGCTCTCGAGCTCACCCGACACGCAGAGCGGAAGGGAGGTCCTGTCCAGAAAGTTGGGCGAGCAGAGGAGCACCGCCTAGGTTGGTTCGAGTGGGGTTGGCCGGGAGGTAGAGTGAGAGAACGGAGCTGGTTGTGGCCGGCGGCGCCTCGGCGATGATCTTGAGGGAGATGAGCTGAAACTCATCGATGCGATACCAAATCGTGAGCGGCCAGTCGTTGTCAAAGATGGCCGGCTGCAGGTCCTCGGGGCACTCGTCGCGCAGCGCCTGGAGCGTCCCGCCGCCCTTTTCAGGGTCCGCTTCTTGGACGAGGACCAGCGGCTTGTCCTTCTCGAGCGACGAGCGGACCTCTCGGAGGCAGTTCTGTGGCGCGGGCGAGGCGGCAGTTCTTGGGGCCAGGGTGCGGTAGAGGCGGGGTGGGAGGAAGAGGCGAGCCTTGGAGCGGAAGTAGCCCTGCGAGAGGAAGAAGAGGATGACCTGCGAGCTCTGGATGTACTCCTCCAGCGCCCCGATATCCTTGAGATCATCTACCTATGAGCACACCGCGGTGCGTCAGGGGGGCTCTTTGTGTAGCTTAAGCAGCGCTGATGAGCATGTGCGCGCGTCGAGAAAGACTTTGATGTCCGGCAGCAGCTGCTCGAGCTCACCCTTGATGACCTTGACGGCGTCTTGACCGGTCGACCTATTCGTTTGGGTGAGGGGCGGGGATCACGCCGGCTGTTTTCGCTCCCTCTTCTCCCTCCATGACTCACCAGATGTGGCTGTTGAAGAGGTGCCACGTGAGGCCCATCGCGATGCTCAGCTCGGGGGGCTGCTTGGTCGAGACGAGTCGGATCGTGGGGATCTTGGCGACGCGACGGGCGGCGACGATGGCGCCGACGAGGAAGAAGGCGAGCACGACTGCAACGAGGATGATCATCGAGTCGACAATCACATTGAGGCTGCGGAAGCCGAGGACATCGGCGGGATCTGCTCCCTGGTACCGCTCCTCGATGCCGAGGAAGGTGGTGCTCCAGTTGGTGCCGAGGAAGAGCAGGAGGAGCACGAGGCTCGTGGCGACGGCGAGCACGTTGTCCTCGACCCGCTTGTACGGCCGCACGACGGCGAGCGCGACGGCGTAGCATGAGCAGATGAGCGTCGCCACCACGAGGCGAACAAAGGCTCGCTCCTCCGGGATCAGCAGCACGAAGCCAGTCAGCACGAGCTTGCGCGCCAGCTCGACCGCCTCCCACCAGCACCAGGTCTTCTCGTACTCCCGGTGCAGGAAGCCGGCAGCCCGCGTCAGAGCATTCGGCGTCTTGGCCTGCAGCGGCTTGTAGCAAGCGGCGAGGAGCGACGTGAAGAGGACCAGCGAGCCGGCGGGCCAGAGGACGATGAAGCCGGTGGCGAGGGTGGTGATGGGTCCGTGATCGTCGGAGCCGCACTCGACGCTCGCGTCCTGCCGCATGTAGGAGACCTGCTCTAGCTCCTCGCCGGGCGGAGAGGTGGTGTAGGCCTATCAGCAGAAACTTACGAGGACTGAGGGGTGTGGTGTTGTGAGCAACGGCAGTCATCAGCTGTGAGAGGGCGCCTGGCACGACCAGGAGCGGAAGATGGAGGCGCTGATGGAGGGCACGAAGCAGAAGACGAGCACGAGGCCGGCCGGCGTGAGGTCGAGGAGGCCGAGGGCCGCCTCCGCGTACCACGGCCTCTCGCGCGGCGCCGGGGCGGCGCGCCAGCGGTAGAGCCGCAGACTTATCCCCGCGATCATTAGCAGGGCGATGAGGGCGACGGGGGAGAGGGCGATGGCGAGGAGTCGCATACCGTAGCCGAGGCACTGCTCCGGCAGGAAAAAGCCAGACCAGTCGACGGAAATCACGTTGGCCAAGTTGTCCGTCCAGCTCGTGTACTTGTCCGGCAGCCGCGCGGAGTAGGTGGAGGACAAGACGGTACTGATCTGGTAGAAGCCGAACAGGATCTTGACCTTGGCCGTCATTCCGCCCCCGACGTAGTACTTGACGGAGCGGTCTGCGAAGCGGAGGATCGGGCCAATGATGCGCTTCTTCCGCCAGGCCGTCATGCTGTAGGCCCACGCCGCGAGGCCGCAAGCGACGCAGAGGCCGAGGACGAGGCCGGCGATGCGGCCCGCCGCCGCGCCGCGCGGAGCGCATACTTCGCAGGTGTCGCCGTCGACGAGGTGGTGCTTCTCCGCGGCGCAGAGCTGGCACTCGGGTCCTTTGAAGTCCGACGCGCAGTACTCTGAGCCCGCCTCCACCATCCTCCGGCCTCTCGCCACCGGCTCGCTGCCGGCGCATCGCTTCTTGCCGGCATTGGCATTGCCACCAAAGAGGCGGCACTCTGTCAGCACCGCGGAGGAGGGGCTGGCGCGCCAGAAGCCGCGCAGGAGGACGAGGGAAGAAAGGGTGGTGTTGTCCGGGCAGACAGCGTTCGGCGGGCACGGCTTGCAGTACTCGGTGGGGGAGGTCAAGACGTCCCCTGGGTCGGCCGAGGTGTTCCGCAAGTAGTAGTCGTCCATGCAGATAGAGCAGATGGTGCTGCCGCTGACCGAGCTGAGGGGATGCGGACATAGATTGCAGAGGCTTTGGCCAGCGTTGGCGGCGTATTTGCCAGCCACGCACTCGTCGCACGCGACGCTGCCTTGACCCGACGAGGTGCCGGGAGGGCAAGGCGCGCACTTGGACTGTCCCTTACTTGCGGCGAAAGTGCCAGGGAAGCACGGCGTCGGCTCGATGCTGCCCGTGGAGCAGGCGCTGCCGGCGGGGCAGGCCGTGCACTCACCCGCGGCGGTGAGGTTTGTTGCGTTCGAGTAGCTGCCAGCCTCGCACGGCAGCGGCGCCGACGCGCCCAGCTCGCAGTAGCTGCCTTTCTTGCACACGAGACAGCCCGTCGCACCCTTATCGTGCTGGTAGGTCCCCCCCTTGCACGGCTCGCACTCAGAGAGGCCGCCCGTGACAGCGAAGCTACCCTTGGCGCACGCCGTCTGCTGCGTCGAGCCCGTGGTGGCGAAGTGGCCCGGCGAGGCGTCGGTGCACTCGCTCGCGTCGGTGAGATCCGTCTTGTCCGAGTAGGTACCCGCATCGCACGGCAGCGGCGCCGACGCGCCCTTGGCGCAGTACCGTCCCTTCTCGCAGTCGCGGCAGGACGTCGCGCCCGTGTCGTTCTGATAACGGCCCGCAGGGCAGTCCGTGCACTCACTCAGCCCGGGCTCGCCGCCAAACGTCCCAGCACGGCAGCTCGCGCAGGTCTCGCTGCTGTTTGCGCCGGTGATCGGGCTAGAGGTTCCGGGGGGGCACTGCTGACAGGCGTCGGGTGAGCTGCTGCCCATCTTCTCGTTGTACCTCCCCGCAAGGCAGGGTGTGAAGCCGCCACCGCAGTCATCTGTAGCCTTGCAGTATCCACCCGCTTCACACGTGTCGCACGACGTCTGTCCGCGCTCCGCCTGGAACTCGCCAGCAGGGCACTGCACGCACGCAACCTGGCCGGTGAGGTTCTGGTACTGCCCTGCGGCACAGTCGAGGGGCTGGATGGTGCCTGCCTTCGGGCAGAAGCTTCCCGCGGGGCAGTCGGTGCAGCCGGTGGCGTTGAGCTGATCGGCGAACGTGCCGGGAGGGCACTCGTCGCAGGAGCGGACCGCACCGGCTGTGGACTGGCTCGTCCCCGGAGAGCAAGGGAGGCACGACTCGGCACTGGCTGCGCCTATCACGGGCATGTAGAAGCCCGGAGCACACGGGAGCGGTTCCGCGGTGCCCTTTGGACAAAAGTGGCCTCGCTTACACCCACCATCGCAGGAGGAGTTGGTGAGGCCGCTCCTGTTTCCGTAGTAGCCAGCGGGGCAAAGGTTGCACTCGGGGACGCTGAAGTCGCCCTTAAAGGCGCCCTCGGTCTGCATCCAGCTGCCCAAGCGGCAGTCCCAGTCTATCGGCGAGTCGGTCTGTATCGTCTTGTCGTCGCCAGCGGTGTTGCCGGTGAAGGAGGCGTCGCTGATCGAGGTGCGTTGGCGGAGTTCGTCCAGGTACAGCACCGAGCCTGACCTCCCCGCTCCGTTGTCGATGAAGTCGACACCCGCGACGGAGAGGGACTCACTGAAAAACGCGTAGACGACGCCGCCGGACTGCAGTTGCGAGGAGGGAGCAGGGTGAGGCAGCCGTGGCCCTCTCCATCTCCCGCCCCGCTGCCGGGCGGCGCTGCAGGGCAGCTAGCTCTACGCGTCGCACCCCGCCAGCCGAGCAGCCCGACACGTTCGAGCCGATTATCGAGACCGCACCGCTGCCCTCCGCGTAGACGACGCCGCCGCGCTGCGGTTGCGAGGAGAGAGCGGGGTGAGGCAGCCGTGGCCCTCTACATCTCTCGCCCCGCTGCCGTGCGCCGCTGCAGGGGCGCGGCTAGCTCTACGCAACGCACAAAAGCAGAGCAATCTCTGACCGTCGAGTCGATGATCTCGACGTCGCCTGCGCCACTCGCGAACACAACACCGCCGCCGCTGCTTGCCCTCCCGTTGACGAGGGTCAGCCCCCGCAGGGTGAGGCTGCAGCCGCCCGAGAGGTAAAAGAGCCCGGACTGTCCCTGGCCGTCGAGCGTCGCGCCCTCGCCGCTGCTCGCGACGGTCACCTTGATGGTGGAGGTGCAGCTGATCTGGCTGAACAGCTTGAAGTCTGCCCTGGACGGCAGGTAGATTGCGACGTCGGCTTGCGAAGTAGCAGCCTCCGTGATCAGGGAGCGGAGCTTAGCCTCGCTCTCCGCGGCGACATCGAAGCCGGGGAACACCGGCGGCGTAGAGGGCGGAGATGGCAAGGACGGCGAGGCGGAGGGAGGCGCCGCCGGCGGCTTGGGACCGGCGCGCGCGTACACGCGGGTGATCATGCTCGAGCACGACTTGGACGACGAGCCGTAGTACAGGGTGCTGCAGCTGCTGTCGTCCGAGTTGCAGTTCGACTGGCCGTAGACGCCCGGGCCCGAGCAGACGCCGGTGGAGCCGGAGACCGTGTTCTGCTGGTCGCCGTCGATGATCACGCCGCTGCCGCCCATCCACGCGAAGTCGTCCGAGGCCAGAGCCGAGCCGGAGGCGCCGACGGAGCCGGTCCAGTACACGGTGGTCGAGGTGCCGACCCACGTGCCGCTCATGGTGACGGGGCTGCTGAGGAGCGAGCCCGAGGCGGACCATGTGACGGGGATGCCGCCCATGTTGGCCGCGGCGAGAGTGGCGCCGATCGTGCGGTCCGTGTCAAACTTGTACTCGAGCGTCAGGTCGGGGCCAGTGCTGCCGTCGCAGTAGAACTCCTGCTCCCACGTGTCGGTCGTGTCGGTGACGCAGTCGGTGCAGACCAGCGGCGAGGTCGACGTCGCGAAATTGGACGGCTCCGGGCCGTACGGCAGGCTCTCGGCGCACCTGGAGCCGCTGGTGACGGCGAACTGGACCAGCACCTTGGGCGGCGGCGCCGGCGGCGGCGACGGCGATGCTGAGGGCGGCGGCGGAGGGGGCAGCGACGGCGGCGACGGAGAGGACGGAGGGAGGGGGGCGAGGATGAACGTTTTGCTGCCGGCGCCCGAGCCAGACGTGTGGGCTGATGGTGCACATGCCAGCGGGAGCAGCGCGGCGAGAATCAGCAGCCACGCGCCACGCCTCGCCCCTGTCCGGCACCGCACGAGGCGCCCCGAGCTGCTCCTCCGCACCGAGAGCAGCACGCCGCCGCACGCTCCGAGCAGCAAGAACAAGGCGGCCCCAAACTGACAGCGCTGCTGGGTGCGGACAGGCGCGGAAGAGGAGGGTCCGCTCATGAAGGGAAAGTGGAACGGGGAGGGCAGGTCGATGGAGAGCTTGTCGACCGGCGGGTTCGCGGGCGGCTTGTCGGTCTTGCAGAGCTCGTCGGTGAGCGCGTGGTGAGGCTTCGCGTGCCACGCACGGGCAGCGCCGCGTGGCTGCCAGTCGGCGCACACACTTGAGACCGAGAAGAGATCGGACTCGACCGCGTTCGAGTCGGCGACCTGAGCGGCACGGACCTCTTCAGGCCACGCTGGCTCCCCCAGCGTAGGGTTGACGGCCCGGCCACGCTGGAGGAAGAGGTCCTTGGTTGGGACTCGAGAAGCGTCCGTCAATCCGTCGTTCGCCCGCCACTCGCCACCGGCGTGCATGCTAGCGACGGGCGCGCCGAGGCCAGTCTCGACCAGCTTCCGCACCTCCAGCATCCCAGGCTTCCCAGCGTCGGCGGGCCGCAACTCGGGCGACGTGTCGTTCACGGGCAAGACGGTGTCGCGTCCCCGAGCGATGATCCCCGTCCTGTTGCTGTAGACGGGACCGACGAGGTCGATCTCAGGCTCGCCCTTGCGCTCCATGCTGTTGCGCGAGGCCGGGACGGTCTCCAAGTCGGCCTCGGCCTACTCGCAAACACACAGGCAATCGTTCCGTCAGCGGGTTACAAAGCTCGCACACACAAAGAGCCAGAGGGGCGCTCACCGGCTGCTTCTCGTAAATTTCCTTGACGGACGCCAGCGGCTCGCCAATTAGGTGCAACGGCTCGCCCACCGCCTCGTCGATCTCTTCCATCAGTGCTCCCCACGAGCGCCCCTCGTCGCGTCCGCCCTGATCAGCGCGCGGGCTGTTAGTCACGAGCTTGCTCGGTGGGGATACTAGCACGCGCGAGCGAGCACGCACCGGGTGGTTGGCGGGCGCGCTGTCCGACGATACGATGGCTACAAACGAGCTGGTGTCGATGCCGCCAACCTCGCAGAAGCCGTTGGGCGATGCCGGCGTGAACGGCTTTGCGACGGTCGCGAGAGGCGATGTCGGCCACGGGGAGTCGTTCCGCTGCGAGGAGAGAAGCGCGGCGGTGGCAGAGTACGAGGAGTGCGCAAACGCGGCTCCGAGGCAGATCAGCGCCAGGCTGGCAAAGAGGCGGAGCAAGTTGTAGGACGGGCAGAGCTTGGGCCACGAGAACCGGCCGGAGGCAGAGACGGAGCTGTCCAGCGTGGGAACTGTGGTCGTCTCGACCATGCCCTGAACAGGAGGGCGCGAGACTGGCCGTGTGCGCGGCAAACGAGGGCGGAGGCCGCATACGTGTGCAGGCGGCGCGCACCGAGTCCGTGGTCGGCGGCGTGGAGCCGCGGGGCGGCCGCGCCTTGTGGGCCACCTTGCCGCCGCCACCGACGTCCTCGTTGCCGTTCGTTCCGAGCAGGGCCCCGAACCGGTTCTTGCCGCCGACCCGGGAGACGTTCTCGACGCGGCCGACCCGGGCGGACGAGCCCTTGCGCGCCTTCTTGCGGCGCAGTTTCGACGGGTTGGTCCAGCCGGAGATGCCCTGCGCACGCGCAAGCGGTGGGTGCGTCAATAGTTGAGGCTCTGCGCGTGCACCGAAGCGTGCGAGGCGATCGGCGCCGTGGCGAGCTTCACCCCCGGAGACTCCTTGGCCGAGACGGTCCGGTCGGCGTCGCCCTACGCAATGAAAGAGGGGTGGGGTCAAGGGGTGGGTCGGCAGACGCACGGCGCAGAATGCGAGGTGCGCGCCGCCGGGAACTCTATCATCGACGGCAGCGGCGCGTCGCCGGCCGCCGCCGGCTCGAGAGCCGGATCTTCTTTGGTGACGCCGCTGGGGGCCGTCGGTGGGTCGATCGGGGTGGTGCTCTTGGAGCAGTCGACCAGGTTGGGCTCGCCCTTGCAATCGGTCTTCCACTCGTCGATGCCCTGCGCATGTGCGAGAGGCAAAGGGCCGATAGGAGAACCGCCCGTGGGACTCCCGCTACACCCGTGAGGTGTGTGCACGCGCTGAGAGAAACTCACCGCCGTGGCGAGCTTCTCCTCTGGAGACTCCTTGGCCTCACCCTCGCGCCCGTTGTTGCGGCGCGGGTTCGACGGGGTCGTCCAGTCGGCGAAAGCGCTCGGCTTGTGGGCGGCAGACACGGCCTTGGCGAACGCGGTCAGGTCCTTCTTGGGGACCTCCTTGAGGAAGGCCTCCGCGCCAGACTCTGCCACGGGGATGTCCTTCGCGAGGGCTACCTTGGTGCCGCACGCCTGTGGCCGAGGGAGCTACGCAGGTGTTTGGAGGCTTGGAGGTCGCACGGATTATGTTGATCCGGGCGTGCGAACGCACCTCGTCTTCGAGGAGCACGGGAGCCATCGGCGCAGACTCGCCCTCGGACGCGACGGGCGTCCCGCCGCCGTCGCCGATGACGTCCTTGAGCGACGCGGGCCCGCTCTCGGACGAGATGCCGTCGGCCTTGCCTCCGGCAGCGTCGATGACGGACGAGAGCGGCGACGGATCGGCGATGGTGTACGTGAGGCGCCGCGAGTCGGCGCAGGAGTCGAGCGAAGCGCGTGCCGACGACGCAAACACGACGCCGACGTCCTCAAGCGAAGCGGGCTGCTTGCTCTCGGACTGGAGCGAAACGGGCTCGCCCTTGGGCTGGATGCCGTCCTCGAGCGAAGCGGGCTCGCCCTTGGACTGGATGCTGGCGGCCTTGGCTCCGACAGCGGTCGTGTTGCCCGCCAGCGACGCCTGTGACAGCCAGAGGGCGAGAGGATAAGTCTTGAAGGTCTCGTGGGAGCGCAGTTTCACTGCGCGCAAACACGCGCCTGCTTGTCGGCACGCGGCGGCGGCGGAGGTGGAGAGATCTTGATAGCGAGCCGATTACCGTCGGCCGGCACGAACTCGAGTTTGAGCTTATCGAGCATAGGCGATCGAATGAGTTCCTATGGAGGAAAGTAAGACGGGACAGTGAGGAACGAGTCTATGGGATCACGACCATGTGAATGAGGGTCAAAAAACACTGTGGAGATGATTGGGGGTATATTGGTACATGGGGTGTGTATGAAGCTGTGCACAAAAATGGTGCTGCTCAAGGGCATGCTGAATGGGAAGAGAGAGCGAGCCGGAGAGAAAAGAGCCGCGCCTACGGGCAACACGTCGCGGCGTGAGCGTCGAGACGAGGCCGCCGGCACGCTCTCTCGCGTCCTCGGCGCGCGGACTGGAGCAAGCGAGAGCGGGTCGCTCTCTTGCCAGAAGAGAGGGAGGTGCGGTCGCGCGCGGGACAAGGGTGGGGAATGGGCAGCAGCGGACGCGTCTCGCGACCTCCTCGATGGCAGCGGCTGTACCTGCGAGCGGGAGTAGGCAGGCGGTGCGAGGCCGAGGGGGGTCAGCCGCTCGCGCCGCGATCGAGGGCGCATCGCGTGGTGGGGGTGGTGAGGAGGTGCGGCGGATTCCGTGAGCAATAGGCGGCGCGGGGGTCTAGGCGTGCAGCTCGCGGCTGCATAGTCGGGCGCAATGCGGCGCGGCAAGCGCGAGCGGACGAGGAGAGTGCCAGCTTGCCTTACGACTCGCTCTCCGCGTAGAGCGTTTTGACGCAGAGAGCGGTCACATCTTCGAGTCACCGTTCACAGTTGTGGCTGTGAATTGACCCTTCTTGCTGTACCCTGTGTCCCTTGGTAAGTCCGTCGGCGGAATGGGGGTACAGGAAAAGAACTATACTGGAAAAGAATTTTACAACCCAAGCCTCTCGCACTGGAAAAGAATTTCACAACAAAACTCCCTCGCACAACACTGGGCACGGGCTGGAAAAGAATTGGAAAACTACAGGCCGAGGGCCCAACTTGAGAATCGTGCTTTTTGTGAGGTTGTTTCGTGTTAGGTTGGGTTGAGGGGGTACACGTGCCGTGGCCGTCAACCTGGTTTGTGGACCTCCCGCACCTTACCCTTACAGGCCACCATAAGGGACCCCGTTGTCCGTTTGACATCAGACTTTTTTTGAGTTGGAGGTAATAATTAAAAGGATTGCACTGTCCCAAAGAACTGATTCATTCATTTCACCCTCACATAGTAACAATACCTCAAAGTTGAAAACCTCCAAAATAGGCCGTCAGGACTCTGTCAGGACTCCGTCAGGACTCTGTCAGGACTCTGTCAGGACTCTGTCAGGACTCCGCCAGGACTCCGCCAGGACAACCACTGCCCCCCCGCTGTGAACAGAGCCCTTAGCTAGAGAGTAGGGAGGGGTGTACAGTCGAGTTACTCCCGAGGGCAGGGACGGCCCTCCACTGAGGGAAAGGGCGCAACGGGGACGGTATGCTCACAACCCAGCCACGCAGCTCTTTGCTCGCGTACAGCCAACGAGTTTGCTGGTCCACAGGCAGGCCAGGCCGTGAGCGTGGGCCGGTCGGGCCTGATCCTGCGGTGAGCACTGGAGGGCTATGCGGCTCGCTCCGTCAGCCGACTTGCGCCGTCGAGCGGTCGAGCGCTTCGGGTTGGACCCGCGGGAGGGTCCCTGCGCGGCTGACATGGCCAGCCAAGCCGTGTGCGCTGCCGTGGGCGCTGTCGTGGGTGCTGCCGTGGGTGCTGCCGTGGGCGCTGCTGTGGGCGCTGCCGTGGGCGCTGCCTCGGTCAGCAGTCGGTCAGCAGTCGGTCAGCAGTCGGTCCGCTGCTCGGCGCTGGCCTGCAGGCCGCCGGTGGCAAATCGGGGGGGCGCGGGCCATGGACGTCGTGGCCGAGCTTTGCTGCCTTCTTGCACGTTGCCGGCTGTAACGTTGCCTGCACCATGGCCGCGCCTCTCTTGCTTGTGCGCTTTCATGGTCGGCCGAGTGGCGCGAGAATGAGCGTGATTTCTTTTGTCTGTCAGGACTCTAAGTTTCTGTCAGGACTCTCAAGTTTCTGTCAGGACTCTCAAGTTTGCTTGTCAGGACTCTCAAGTTTGCGTCAGGACTGCCCCATCAGGACGATTCCGCAGAGGGCGCGCACGGTCGAAAGGGGGGCTGGGCGTCTATCATTCACTGCTGGGGGGGAGGGGAAGGAGGGTTGCAGTGAAGGAAGGTGGAGGTCTCGTCGGAGGCACTTGTGAGCACTGTGAAGACCGTGCGCCGTCAGGACCCCGCCAGGACTCTGTCAGGACTCTGTCAGGACTCTGTCAGGACTCTGTCAGGACTCTGTCAGGACTGTCAGGACAGGTGCGGGAGGTCCACAAACCAGGTTCGTCCTACGCCGCCCCGCTTCTTGTGGACGAGGTACGACGCTCCGTCAAGACCAACGAGGGTGCCCTCGACGGCGCGTGGCCTTTCGAGGCTGCCTTTTGGGCCGCGGGCTGGCTCATCCTCGTGGGGTAGGTTGACTCATCAACAGCAGCGCTGGCGAGCGGCGCAGCACACCACTCTCCCGCCAAGACACGTGTCATTTCGCGCCAAGATTTGGCGCCAAAATGGCACTTTAGTGTCCACCTAGCCGCGTGGTCGCGGCCTGAAGCTCCAAGCTTCTGGGAGTGAGGTCCCACATCACAGGGCTCAGAGTGCAGGCGGCCCCCTTCCGATCGTTCGCCGATATCCGAAACCGGCATGCTGCTAAATAACTTTTGGAATTTAGCTACGAAACTCATCGGCGGTTATTATTAGCAACGGAGCGCGTGAATGGGCTACCCGTAGTGGGGTAGGCGCAGAAATGAACCTCAGGAGTGTCTTGCAACGCCGCCGTGCACACACCCGCGGTGGCAGCCGCCGCCGGCCCTTTCCTTGCAGCCCCCGACTCCCTTCCGTCATGCCGCCTGCCAGGCGAACTGCGCCCACTCGCCGAGGATTGCGTCGCCTGCGAGAGGGTTGGGGTTGGGGGTTGGGGGTGTGTGGTGGTGTGGGGTGTGGGGGGGTGGCGGGGTTGGGGGGTGGGGGGGGTTGGGGGGTGGGGGGGTGGGGGTGTTGGGAGCGGGGCCGCACTGGCAGAGAGAGAGGCAGAAAGTGCGATAGCCTGTCGGCTCGCGATCTCGGCTACTCTCGCGCCCTTGCGGTCGATCTCGGTAGCCGGGTCGCAGTCCTGTTCGGGCGAGAGGCCGCCTCGTGTGTGCACAGCTCGGAGGGAGGGGAGCTGTGTGCAGGTGCTCTTCCGACCCCTCCTCTCCCCCTCTCTCTCCCCTCTCTCCCCCGTTGGCTAGCCTTGGCGAATCTCGGCGAATCTCGGCTGAATCCCGGCGAATCTCGGGCGAATCTCGGCGAATCTCGGCTAGCTGCGGACCATGTGTACGTGCTCCTCGCCGCCCTCCCCGACCACCACCAGAGACGGAATCCCGGCGCGCCTATCAGCCGAGTCGCGAGAATTCGCCGAGATTCGCGGAGAATTCGCCGAGATTCGCCGAGGTTGACCCCCGGCCAGCACAGAGAAGAGATCGCCGAGGTGAGCCGAGATGAGCCGAGATTAGGGATTTGAAGTCGTCCGATCTCGTCCGATCTCGTCCGATCTCTTCCGATCTCTTCCGATCTCGTCCGATCTCGTCCCATCTCGGCTCCTCCTCGCTCCTCGCCACGCCCGGGAAGCCCGCCGCTTCTGCGCCCGCAAAGCAGCCGTACTTGGCCTTGAGCGCGTCGCGTGTGGCCGTGTCCTCGAACGGGACGCTGAGCCAGTCGCCGTGCGACTTGGCCATGTAGCGCGCCTTTGGACGACGGATTCGCCGACATCGCCGAGATTCGGCGTGATTCGCCGAGGTCAGGGGAAACGGCCGTGCAACGCCGCGCCTTCGGAAAGTCGCGAGAAGGTGTTTTTAAAGTTCCTGTGGCAGGCGCCGTGCGGCTGGGCCGTGCGGAGACGCGCCTTCTGCTCCGCGTCGCGGTCGGACGAGACGTACACGACTTCGAACGGCACCTGGGAGGCGAGCGTCTGAGTCCGGGCGGCCGGGCGGTGCAGTGGAGCGTGGCGAAAAGGGTGTGAGTGCGCACCTCGTTCTCCCGGGCAACCTCGTGCAGCGTGTGCCTGGCCGGTCGCGAGAGCAGAGCGGGCTGGGTGCCACGAGGAGGGTGCAGGCGACCGCGGCTGGCTGCGGCTCGGCGTGGTGTGTCTGCGGGGCTGCGCACAGCGTAGGAACAAAGAGCTTGCACGCCGGGCACCACTCGGACGAGAAGAAGAGGACGACGATCTTCCCTCGCAGCGCCTCTGCAGCGGGCACCTTTGTGCCTTCCTTTGTCTCGAGCGTAATGCCGGCGAGGCTCATATACACCCCGGGGACCACACGGCGCGTCCGCTCCTAGAGAGAATTTTATTTATTACCCAAAAGCTAGGCTACACAACGCCCTCTATGTTGGGTCAAGGCGGGCGCCTAGAAGAAAGCGCCGCCCCCCGAGGGGGAATCCCACCCGTACCCCGAGCCCCCGTCGAAGAGCGCGTCGAAAGCGTCGTCGCCTTCGTCGTACTCCTCCGCGTCAAAGCACCGGACCGGCTCCCCCCGGCCGTGCTCCCTTGCCCAGCGCATCTGCCGAACATGCGCACGCTGCTCCTCGCGCGCCCTCTCCTCCGCGGCGCGCGGCGTCCACCCGGTGGACGCCAACAGCGACTCGAGCGTCGCGCGATAAATCGCCTCGCCTTCCTCGCGTGATACCACCTCGCCCGCCTCCTTCGCCACCGCCTTCTTCCCACGCCGCGATAGCTTCTCGCCGCCCTTGCTCGCCAGCGCCGGCGATGCCGTGGCGCGCCCACCGCGCCCGCGCGCCCGCGCCTGAAAGGTAGCCCTGCCGTGCCCGACGTCCCCCCGCGCCCGAAGGATGACCCGCGCCTCCTCCTCCGTCACGGGCGTCTCGCGACCCCCTCGCGCCTGGAGGATAGCCCGGGCCTCCTCGTCCGTCACGGGCATCTGCGTCCTGTGCTGCAGGGCAATCCTCAGCGCCCGGACGCGCTTGTCCTCCTCGGCCGTGGCCGCCGCGCTCGCCTCCGCCGCCCCAGAGCCCCCTCCTGCCACCGCATCCTCCGCGTCCGCGCCGCTGTAAGTAGAATCCGAAGCTCCGGCGGACGCAGCAAGTGGCTGCGAACTGTGCCCGGTGTCGGTATGGCGCGTCGCTGAAGGATCGGCAACAATTAGGGTCTTCGGAGCGCGGCGGCCCGCCTCGGCGGCGGCAGCGGCGCCCTCCACCTCCTCCTCCCCCCCCGCGGCGGCAATCGTCCCATCGCCGCTAGCCGGCAGCGCGGGCGCCACGGGGTCCATATAGGCCCCCGGGGCGCCGCCTCCGGTTCCGCCTTCCGCGGCCTGCGCACTGCAGGCGCCGCTGTCCGCCTCTTTGGGGCGCGCGCCGCCGCGGCCCTCGCCGCCAGCCGCGGCCCCGCCGCCGTGCTCCTCGCCAGCGGAGCCACTCCCAGCTCCGCCGCGGGGGCCGCTTGCGGCAATCGCATGCCCGTCTGCGGCACGCGCGGCACCCTCGGCAGCGCCCGTACCGCCGCCGCCGCCAGCGCGCTCGCAGAGAGAATTTGCCTTGCCGCGTAGAGGGCTACGTGTGGGACGACTGTCTCTCTCTCTCCCAACTGAGAGAGAGAGAGTTCCCAACTGTGAACAGTCGTTGTCTGTATATGCGCAGCTATTCATAGCCGCGCCTGTTGTTTGTGTGTGTATCCGCGCTCTTGGCGCGATTACGAGACTGACTTGTCGCACTAGTTGTACTTTTCGTAACCCTAGGTGTTAGATACACACGGGGGGGTGTTTGGACACACAGGATACACGTGAATCCACACTCAGTCTGGATACACAGTGGATACACAGTGAGATACACAGCCTCCGGTTTCGAAGACGAGCACGTTTTTTTTGCTGTGTCCGAAGAGGTAATCCTATGATATGTCTGTCATGTGTCATCATGTCGGCATACACAAGTCTAGTTCACGGTGCGTACAGGTAGGTCAGGTACACAAAAAACACATACACAAGAGACAAGTCGGTGCGGACTCGTGTTGAACACGTGAGTTGTGTCAAAACTAGAACTACAGATCCTCAGCCTCGACCTCGGCCTGCTCGCGCGCACGCTCGAGGGGCGGGAGCCGCTAAGCCTCGAGGAGGGCATCGAGCTCGGCCTTGATCGCGCGGCGCTGCTCAGCTCCGTACCGCCACTTTTTGGTGAACTTGACCCACTCCTCGTCGGCGCCCGCGGCTGGCTGGTCGTCCGCTGCCCACGGCTCGCACGCCGTGCGCAGCCGCCTCACCTCGGCGTCGAGGCCGCCCATGCGAGGGAGCAGCGCCTCCAGCAGCGCCCTGCTGCGGTCGCGAGTGAGGCGAGACGCCGCCGCCAGCTCGTCGCTCCCGTTGTCGATGTGGACCTGCTCGGTCGCGGTCGACATCGCCACATTCATCGTCAGCAGCTTCAGATTCGGGTCGGGCGACGCCTCGATGGCAGAGAGGAGCTGCGGGTCGAGGGGCGGGCAGAAGACGGCGTCGTACGCGGGGTCGGTGAGCAGCGTCACGAACCACCCTCTAGCGCCCGACGTGGTGGAGATGAGCGCTCGCAGCAGAGGTATTCGCCTGAGATCGCCGTCGCCGATGCCCTTCAACCCGAACCCGGATCGCGCGCGGCGCGGCGCAGCGCGCAGGCGCGACGGCCCTTGTGCCTGCGCCGGCACCTGCGCCGGCGCCTGCCGCCACGGCCCTCGCGCCGCGGCGGCGCCGGCTGCAATTGTGATGGCTTAGTTTGGTTCTCCCCTAGAGATAGGCATGAGCGAGCGAGAGCCGGAGAGGGCGCGTGTGTAGGCAGCTTCCGAGAGGCGAGAGTTGAGATACACTAGATACACTGTGTATCCACCCAAGTTCTGGATACACTGGATACATATCTAACACCTAGGTTCGTAACAGTGTTCCGCATTCATTGATTGCGAGGACGGACCACTCCTAGCTATGATGTATCTTATTCCGGGGCCCGTGTGCGGGGAGCGAACCTTAGCGACCGCCCAGAAGCTTTCTGAGCGACCCAATCGGGCCGGGATCATCAGCATATGTCCCCTCCACAACATCGTGGGCGTTTGAGCGGTATTTGAGGAGCACCGCGACTCTGAAGTTCGGCCGGGTGGTCTGCAGACCCCCCCCCCGGAGCAGCAGAGGCTCCGTGGGGTCGAAAAGTCGACGCTGGGAGTCGCACTCGTCAAACCGTCGCAACACCACGCGGTCCGCACGTACCTCCCACATCCCCTCCACCACTGAGAAGGCGCAGATCGACCGCCGGGCCGCGTAGCCGTCGTTAAGGAGCGGTTTTTGGAGCCGTCTTCAGGTTCTTTATCTGGAGAGCCATCAGCGCGCCGCGCCGCTGCGACAAAAAGAGCGTGTTTACGGCAGCTTTCGCGGCGATGATGATGCCGTTGGTGACCTCGCCGACGATGCTGACCTCGTTGGAGGGTGCGGGGACGGGATGGTTGCCGAGGAGCATGGTCTCGAGGCGATTTAAGAGCGCGGTGGGCTCCAAGGCGAGCTGCGCCGAACTGGAGCGAGTCGGCCGCGCCCGAATTGCTGGCGCCGCATCGGCGCCGAACGAGTCCGACACGACCGCGGTCTTCTCCACCGGCTCGAGGTTCGCCATCCGCGGCGCTGCACCGCGGATTCGAACGGCTGCTCGCTCCTGCTCGGCGGCTGGCCAGTCAGCCGGGCGCTTCGAGAGGGCGGTCGCCGTCGGTGCACATCGACGATCATGGCGAGCGAGCAGCCCCGCGGTGAGTGGATACAGCCCACCGGAGGTACTGTCTGAGGTGGGGCCCGGCGCGTGAGGCTCGTCGGCGTCCGCCATCACCGCCTGCGGCCACTGCAGAGTCGGCAAAATCAGGCTCGATTTTGGCCATTTTGGCACGGACCCTTGCGGACTCTTCACAGCTGGGTCCCGGTGCACCCGGAGTGCTGTGGACTGCACTTTTATTTCGTGGGAAGCGCACCTCCTGTACACGGGTCTCATCGGGAGGACGACCCCGGCTAGTCGCCGACCACACCCACAAAGAACCCTACACAAAGATCGCACGGGCGGGGACCTGTTCCTTTTTACCCATCTCACAGTAGAGGTGTCCGTTTTTATTTATTTATTTATTTACACGGGTCTCACGGCAGCGAGCAGGATGTTGCGGAGATCAGCAGGAGGATGTACGACGAGAGTAGGAGCAGCAGGGACCCGAGGGACCATGTGGAAGACGGCCAGTGCTAGTCCCCCATCGGGAGGACGACCCCGGCTAGTCGCCGACCACACCCACAAAGAACCCTGCACAAAGACCGCAGGGCGGGGACCTGTTCCTTTTTACCCATCTCCTAGTCGAGGTACAGCGTTTTATTTTTTTATTTATTCACGGCTTAGCAGATACCGAGATAGCACCTCCGCGCCTCTTACGTCTTACGTAGTACCGCAAAGTTTGAGATTAGCAGATTACAGATTACAACATCCCCTTATAATATAAGGCTACAGTATACGCGCTGCACATTGCAGCTGCGCCCGACATGGGACATGCAAGATCATGCACATGCGACATGGCTCGTGCTCCATCTAGGGACGCAAAACCGCGGGGCGTGGTCGACCATTCGGTGACGTGCAGGGAACCTCTGGCTTCTCTTCGTTCGGCCTCAATTGCTCGTGAACGAAGCCGCGTAAAGCGGGTCGTGGGGGTCGCGACGCGTGCGCGCGGAAGACCGCGCGCGCTGGAGCCCCGTTCCCGATCGATTCCGCTACTTCACGCGATCGCGATCTCGGGCGCTCCCGCCGCGGGCGAGGCCGCGGGTTTCGCCGCGGCCAGCGAGACGACGCCCAGGACGAGAGCGATGAGCTGGAAGCCGAAGCTGGAGACGCACGCGCCAAAGCCCGGGCCGTAGTGGGCCAAGTCGTCAGAGTACTTCAGTTTAAATTCCTGCGCGCGCGGGTCTCTGTGGATCAGTCACAGAGGGACTCTGGGCAATCTCAGAGTGGCAGGGAGGGGGGAGGGGGGAAGGGGGGGGGGGGGGGGGGGCAGGAACGGCGCACGCACGTCAGCCCACATCGCGAAGCAGGCGATGGTGAAGATGATTGCGAGGAAGGCAACGACGCATCCGATGATGTTGACGAGCTTGTTGGGCTTGCACAGCTTGACGGCACCGAGGACAACAGAGCCGATCGAGAAGAGGGCGGCGAGGACGCCCATGGCTGTCGCCGCGTCCTCCTTGTCCCACTCCAAATCGTCGCAAACAGCAAATACTCCGCCTACCCTCTTTTGGCAGGCGCTTCGCCAGCCGAAGTACACATCCCATAGGAGGTCGCTGTACAGGTCGTAGTCGTAGTACGGGGTTTCCACGTCCATGGCGCCGAGCCAGTACGTGTTTTTGAGGGTGTCGTAATCGTCCGTGACGCCGCCGACACTGTGCGAACATGCAGCCCTCAGCTGCTGGGAACCTTCATCGGGGCTTGGGGCGAGGGGCGCAGCGGGATCCGGCGTCACTCACAGGGCGATGATGGAGAGGATGAGCGCGAGGGACACGAGCACGAGTTGCACGATGGCGATGACCTTAGGCTTGTTGGTGCACATCGAGAGGGATGCAAAAGGGCCGCACCTACTCGCAGCGAACGCAGCTTGAGGCCCAGCACCTAGGACCACCGCGGCACGCCCGCCTCGCCCACGTTGTTTTGATCTGCGAGGGCGCAGCGGCGGCGAGCGAGCGTCAGCAGCATAAAATGGGACGAGCAGGGCGCGGGCTCGTTTTGGGGGGCGCGGGGAGGCAGTAGGCATGGAGGCGACCCGCGGCCGCGCACTCAGGAGCGCTCCGACCGCGATATGATTGTGCCAGATTCGCGTCGCTCGCGGAGCGAGCCGCTCGCGCGGCGGTCGCAGCATGGCGTGCAGCCGTGCACGGGCTCGCTGCAGAGGTGGTTGTGGGGCGAGGCGCGGCCGGGGACGCGCGCTGGCAGCTCTCATCTCGCGCCGCGTCGCGCCGGGCGCCGGGCGAGGCGAGAGGCAAACGAGGGAGGCGAGCGGAGGCAGGGCGCCGGCTGCCCCGATGCCCGCTCCATCCCGTACAAAGGAGGAGAAGGACCTCGAGAAGTTCGCCTCCGCGCGGGTCTGGTGGCAGGCCCAGCGGGCGGCTCCCCGCGACGCCTACCACCTCCCGTCCAAGGATATGGTAGTCGCCTTCTCGCCGTATGACAACGGCGAGGCTCCGCCGCCCCTTCCGCAGCTCTCCAAGGTGGTGGCGGCGGGGCGGCAGCAAGAGGTCGCCAAGGGGCGCGAATCGCCACTGGGAGACCTCATCAGTGCCCTCCTCGCGCTGGCCATCGCATACGCGGGCCCGCTGCCGGCGAACGCCACACTCGCCGACTGCGACGAGGCGACCCTCGACGTGATGGACACGAGCACGGGCGAGACGGAGAAGCGCGCCCCGGCGCTGAACTCGTCGATTGCGGACCTTGCGGTAGACCGCGTCGTCGCTGCGCTCGGGCCTCTGGCCCCGAGCCAGCAGGAGGAGTATGCGAGGTCCATCTGGAATGAGCTGATCGCGCAGCATTCGGCGCGGCGCGGAAGCCTGACGGCGGCGCTAGTCGCCACGATGGCTTCCGCCGAGCTCATCGCGGCTCGCAAGGACAAGCGAAAGGCGCCTGCGCCGCCGAAGAAGGACGTGGCGCAAGCCGCGAAGGAGCCCACCGCGAGCAAGGGGGGGAAGAAGCCCCGCCAGCCATCGTGGGAGGGTTTGCCCATCTGCCCCGCCTGGAAGAAGGACGGCGCGTGCCACGCGTACCGGCAGCGCAGGTGCAACGAGTACCGCCACCCGCCCGAGATGAAGAAGAAGACGGCGGAGCGCTCGGAGGCGCCCGCGGCTAACGAAGAGTAGGGGCACGCATGGCGCCGCCCAGCGCGTTGGCACGCCGGGAGACGCGTGTGACCTCGGCAGAATGATCATAGGTCGGTGGTGGTGGTGAACAAGCACCATCGCCGCCAGCGCTCCCCGAGCGACGTCGACATCCAGCGGGGCTCGCCGTTCGGTAACCCGCTGGTGATGAGAGGAGAGAGAGAGAGGGACGCGGTCGTAGACGGCTACCGAGAGATACTAGAGGAGAGGGCGACGGCCAGTGAGGCTGCAGGGCGCCGCTGCCCGCCGTTGGCGGTCGACGAGGGCGCGAGAGAGGTCACCCGAGAGCGGAGAGAGGATGCGTTCGCAGGAGTGCTCAAGCGCATGTTGGCTGGGGAGCAAATCCGGCTGGTGTGCGCATGCGCGCCGAAGCGGTGCCATGGCGACATCATCGCGGCACGTCTCCGCCGCATGATGAGAGAGATTGTGGACTAGATTCGACGAGAGCAGTCTTGTGTAGTACGAGTCGACCCCACGTTAGCACCTTCACCTCATGCTGTAGGGGGGTCGTGGCCGAGGACCCCCCCCGAGACTCGTGGTCAGACCCTCCGGGCCCTTGATTTTACGCCTCATTTCGCAGTATTTTGGAGAGGAAAATCATCCTTTGGAGCTACATGAGCCTTGAGACTGGTCAGATTATCCAAGATATTGGACTTTCAGCCACGATTTCACAACTTTGGGGGCAAAATCGGCTCTCTGGCGGCTATTCCTAGCCCACAAACTGCTGGGGGGTGCCCACCACATGCTAGGGGGGGGATCCGACCCCCCCAGAGGCTTCACCACATGCTTATATGATGTAACATACTTGCCCCCCCCCCCTCGGGCCTCGTCTTTTCGTGGTAAACGAGCGCATCTCGGCGGGGCGTCAGCGCCTCTCGGTGGGGCATCATGAGCTCACGGGGCTGCCCGACGGGGCAGGCCTCGTGCTGATGGACCCAGCCGAGGTGCCCGACCAGTCGGACCCGCGCCAACGCGCCGCGCGCGACCACCAGCCAGCTTTTCACGGGGTCGAGCACGGTGCGTAGATCGTGCCGCCACTCTCCGGTCCATCCGGAATTTTGTCATTCTAGTTAGCACTGCTGCTGCAGACAGGGCCCGCGCGACCCCATGCCCTTCCCGGATCCAGCTCGCTGAGGCGTGACGCCACCCCGGTGACCGCCCACAGGTGGCTGTTCGCGGGCGCGGCGGGCGTGCCGCTCGAGCGGACCAGGCTGAAGCCACCTCAGGACCCCAGCTCGAGTCGGTGGCGCCACCCGCGACCCTGCCCGCCTTCGCCGCGCCAGCCGCCGGCTCGCTGCAGCCGCAGCGCGCGGTGCCCGGCCACCGGCGCGCCCGCCCGCTCGCCTTCTCGCGCCGCCTCTCGGCGCGCAAAGCCGCTCACACACCGCGTACTCAGCCATCGGCGCGACATCACCCCGCGCAGGCGCCTCGCGACGGGTCGGCGCACTCGTGCGGCTCAACGCGGACCTGCGGAGCGACTCCGCCGCGGCTCGGCGCTGCCCATGGCAGCAACAGGTGCCGCCCCACCACCCGCCTGCTGCCTCTGCCTCTCTCAGCCATGCGACCCCTCCGCCAATGCACACCTCGAACGCGACGTCAGATCCCGCTGCAACTAGCAACATTCGCGGCGATGAGGCCTCCGCCAGCACTGATCGTCTCAACTCGTCTGTTACGCTACACGTTTTTGCCCTGTGCAGGTGAGCGGACCGCTGCAGTCATCGATGGTGGAGCCGCGGGTCGGGTGAGGGAATGGCCTTTTGGCGCGGCGCTGCTATGTGCCTGCGCGATCATGGCGCGTTCAGGGGTGCGCCTGCGGTGTGTAGACTGCGGGGCGCCGCGATAGCGCGGCGCCGACGATTGTGTCGCTCATTGTCACACCGACGACACGGTCACAGTGTGTGTGCAGTGCGTCCACTCCGGCGACCGTGACGCCGTCGGCGCTCGCCTATACCGGCTAGTGTGGAGCTCTCAGTGTGGTTGCGTGTTGTACTAGTGATGCTGCACTAGGCGGCCCGTTTTTAGCAAAAACCAGATACCACATCGCGTGTGGTTGTCGAAAAACCGCATCTTCGCCCGTCTGGGACCTCTTCGTACGGCTCCAAAAACGGCTCCTTAACGACGGCTACGCGGCCCGGCGGTCGATCTGCGCCTTCTCAGCGGTGGAGGGGATGTGGGCGGTACGTGCGGACCGCGTGGTGCTGCGACGGTTTGACGAGTGCGACTCCCAGCGTCGACTTTTCGACCCCACGGAGCCTCTGCTGCTCCGGGGGGGGGGTCTGCAGACCACCCGGCCGAACTTCAGAGTCGCGGTGCTCCTCAAATACCGCTCAAACGCCCACGATGCTGTGGAGGGGACATATGCTGATGATCCTGGCCCGATTGGTTCGCTCAGAAAGCTTCTGGGCGGTCGTTAAGGTTCGCTCCCCGCACACCGGCCCGGAAGTATGTTACATCATAGCTAGGGGGGGGATCCGACCCCCCCAGAGGCTTCACCACATGCTAGGGGGGGGGTCCCGACCCCCCCAGAGGCTTCACCACATGCTAGGGGGGGGGGCCCGACCCCCCCTCCTGGCGCCGCTGTTCCCCGGGGCTTCCGGGTT